TTTGGGTTTTTTTTTTTTTTTTTTTTTTTTTTCAATGGGACTCCCTTGCCTGAGCAGCCCGTCTCTAGGTCATAGTGCCCTGAGAAAAGCTGTTCAGCTAGCATGGCTTGGATTGGAGTTGTTTGTATCGTGCATTCCTGGGCCCTGGGCTGCCTTGAGAGATAAGATCTCATGCTTCTGCAGTGGAGAAGGGGGTTCTGGGGAAGGGACCTTTCCTTTGCAGTGAGTAAACTCCAACATGACCTTGTTTCTTAAATTGCAGAGCTTTGGCTTCTCTGAGCCTTTTGTTGAGTATTTGTGCAACAGAAAAATGGGTGTAGCTGCAGTGTTGCTGAGTGCTTTCCCTATTCTTTCAAAACCTATTTCTAAGCAACTGATAGCAAAAGATGAGCGTAGCGATGGAAGAGCCATCGTCCTTTTGCTCCAGACCCTTGGTGTGCGCAGTGTACGGCGAGCTGGTTTGGTTAGGTTTCAGGCCTTGGCACATGGCGTTATTAGAAAGCTCATTGCTTGCAGCAAGTAGCCCAGTGTATAGCAGTGATTAACGGTGAGATCGGTGCTTTTCACCAAAATCTGCCTTTCCAGCACAAAGCTGAAGCCCGCTGTCACGCAGAGGCTGGCTGAGAGCTCCCCATGCTGCACCAGCAATCGTGACATCCTCTCTAGACCCAACGGGTGATGCCGTCTTCTGTAAGGCACGGAGCAACATGACAAAAGGCTTTGGGAGGATCTGAGCAGAGCAGAAATAAAGCTTTCCCAACTTGAAGATAATTGTGCACTGAACTAGCCAGGGAGCAAGAGCTACGCAGCTACTCTGGGAGGTAACTGTTGGTCATCTGTTGGCTTTCTAGTCTGTGAGCAGAAAATGCAGCTATTTGTACCTGGAGGGTAAATGAGTGGCAAAGAGCCAGAGGATTAAGTGCTGACTACAATTTCCAAAGGTAACTTGTGTCTGTCCAAATGTAATTGTGTGTGGTGAGTGGGTACAAAATAGCCTAGAAAAAAAAATAAATCGGGTTTTTATATTTCCTTTTGAGTTTCTCCTTTCCTCTTGGGTGGGGAGAGATGTTTTTTGCTTTCTTATAAAGATGTATGCTTAGATATGCTGGTGGGAGACAGGGACTTGGCTCCCACTGCACTGGCTGTGGTCCAGCGTGAGTGATATTTATTATCTGGGATGTCAGTAAAATCGCAGTGAAGAGAGATGCCACTGACTCAGTTGTACTGTGGCTTATGAACCAAGTTCTGACTCAGCCTGCGAAATTCAGGGTTTTTTTAGATTAACCCCCACTGGACAAGGCAAGGCTGAGCTGAAGATGACACATTTTTCTAACAGTGTTGTGATGAACCTTGCAGAATGGGTGCTTGTGTTCCCCTTGGGTATGGGTGGTGGTACAGAGATGCTAACATGGATTTAACGCTCCCAGTGGCTCTTGGTAACCTGGGAGGGGAGCAGGGAGAGGATTTTGCCTGTGTGCTTCTGCCCCGGCTGCTGCATATAAGTTCAGTCTTGGAGACTGAGTTTGATCTAGCTAGAGAAACCTGTTTTTGAAGAGCTGCCTGATGAGACTAGATGTGCCAAACAGATGATTAGCGGGCAGAGTGGCAGTGCGATCCCTTTCCTGCCAGCCTTTTGCTGTGTGCCTTCTGTCCTCTGAAGCCGATTTCTCCCTCTGCCTTTGCTTTGCCAAGTGCTTGTAACGGTGACTGGCTGCGTGCTGTGAGCACTGCTGCCTTGGGAACTCAGCTGCTCCCACACAGCCAGTGCTGAGTAACTGGGCTCCTACCGCTCTTAATGTAAGAGTAATTTTTGGTTTGCGATACCGAGACTGCTGGGCTCTATGGGCAATGAAGGGTCTGTGAAAGGGGACTAAGAAAAGCACATTCTTGTCACCAGGCTAAAACATACTGTGTGGGGTCTGCATTGCCATGGGAGATCTGTCAGGAGCTCACAGAATGAAAGAGGTTGATAACTACAGATCTCACTTAATAGAGAAAGGAAAATGTATCCCACGCTTCCTACTCTCTGTGACATTGTCCTGGGCTAGGGCAGTGCCAACACCTTGCACCCATTAAGGAGAGGGCAAAGCAAAGGGGCAAGGGGTTTCCACAGCCCCGAATAAGGAGCCGGAGCTGGGCTCCTGGTCTTCTTGGACTGCCTTGGGAGAGAGGGGCTTTGTCGGGAGGTGACCTGGGGCAAGAACCTGCCTGTTCCCGCTGCCCTCTCCCTGGCTGCTCCAGCCACTTTGTTGCCCGCTCTGGGTTTTGCACACTGGTTCTTTGCAGCTGGTGGTTGCAGGTGCCGAGGCAGGAGTCCTGGGGTGGCTCGAGCGTGTTCCTGTGGTGGTCTGGAACTCAGACAAAGGACTTCTCCGCACCCCTAAGATCTCAGTGTGGCAGCAGCCCTGGGATGGGGAGGAAGTGCTGGACCCAGCTTGACCTTTGAAGAGCACTGGATTTCTCCACTTGACCCCAGAGAGCCTGGGAGCTACTGCCCCGAGTACATGCCGCACTGTGAGCCCTGCCAGGTTTCCTGCCTCCATGGGCAGGGTCTGGCCACGCTCCTCCCTCAGGGCTGGTTATTTCCCCTCCATCAGCTCCCCGTGGGGCCCCACAGATGTTGTATCTTCACTTGTTGAATCTCCATCCAGTTCTGATCTGCGCCTGCGGCACGCTCTTTGACATACAAGGCAAATTCTTCCTCACCCTGGGCGAGGAAGCTTCTGCTTCCCCGCCACGTGCCGCTGAAGGACGCGGTCGTGTCTGCAGTCATGCTTCCAGGTGGTCCCGAAGATGCTGAGCTGCACAGGTTAAACCAAGAAGGAGCTCTCCCACAAAGGAGAGTGGTCCACAGAGAGGTAAGATCAGTGTCCTGGGGTGCTTCTTTCTCACACGCAGAAATGCATTTCACACGCGCACACTAACCCTCGGGACCGCACACACCCACGCAGAGCCTACCCGGATCGAGCAGCCACAGGCTGTGGGGGTGTTTCAAAGTGTTTATGACTCAAGCTCGAGAACACATTGTTAAAGCAAGGTGCTGTGTTGTGGTGTTGTTGCTGACTTTCAAGTGAAATGGGCAGAGACGTGCAGAGCGCTGTCCTACCTGCTGAGAGCATAAAGGGAACAAAAGCTGCCACAAAACCCTACAGCCGAGAGAAATGTCTTTGTAATTTAGAAACAGAACTGCTGTGGAAACAAGATGTTGTATGAGTAAGTGCTCCTCAGCAGTGGTGCAAACCTAATGCTTCAGCCATCCCTGCGGGACAAGGTTGGTCTGCAATTTTAAATACAAGGGACCTGACTCTCACCGTGTGCTTTAAAAGGCAGAAAGTTAACTGGGACCAGAAGCTGAGAGGCATGAGGAGGCTGCTGAGGTTACCTGGCATGGGGAAAGCAGGCGCTCTGCTCCCCTGAGTGTGCAGGAAGAGGCTGGGCCCTCCAGCCTGGTGGGCACAGCAGCATTAGTGCTTTTTCCGTGGTGTGGGCTGTGGAGGAGTTATTGCTAATTGCTGCGTGAGGGGAAACACGCTCAGTGCCTTCTGGAATGCTGCTTTTTGGGATTGTGCCTGTGTTTTTGGAAGCTGCTCCCTAGTACCGTTACAATGAAGGTCTGTCATCCCTCGAGGGTGGCTGTCAGCGTGGCTGACATTAGCGGCACAGCAAGCCATCTCCAGCCCAAACAGGCTGGGAAACTGGCAGGTTGCCCCCTCACCCCACGAGAAATGAGGGCAAGTGGGATTTTGAAGTGATCCCTGACTTGATTTCCCTGTTACCCAGCTGTCGATGTGACCCTGCAGTCTGTCCCTCAGCCTGGCCTCTTGCACTGCTGCCCCGTGCCAAGCGTTCATCCCTCCACTCTCTGCTCTTCCGCAGAGCTCTTGCTGGAGGAGCTCGTAGCCTTTTATAGCCATGTCTGGACCAGGCCTGTCGCCTGGGATGGCCGTCTGCCCTGTGCGAGCAGGGGAGCCTTCCACATCTTTCCAGAAAGGGCTGTGTATTTTTTGATTTTTTGGGTGCAGGACAGCAACCTGCCTGCCGCACTCTGAGCTGCGCTGGAGCCGCTCAGCGATCGGGAAAGCCGAAATGTGGTGTAGACCAGGAACCTGAGTCGCCGATGACTGTGTTAGCCCTGAGCATCATCCAAGGCAGCCTGTGCTGAGATGGGAGGTCAGCCCTGGTCTCCAGGCATCTGCATTGCGACCCCACCACTGCTTGCCCTATCCCAACAGAAATGACCTTTAGCAATGGTCTGTTCATAGGAGAGCCGAGCTGCAGCCAAGGCCGTGTGCTGCTTCAGCCAAGTGGAAAGCCAAGCCCGAACGGGCCGTTTGCTTTCTATGTGGTCTCACCCTGTATTCTGCAGTATACTCCCGGTCTTGTGTGATGCAGAGATGTGTCATGCTAGACAGCAAGTTCATTTTGGGGCTGGGAGGAAGTCAGTGCTGTAGGTTGCCTCTGGGAACTTGCCAGATACTTGATGCTTGGTACGGTATTTACTGAAGCTAACCAGATCCAAATAAAATAGAGGCTTTGCCATCAGCCCTTTTCCTGCGTGCTGAAATGTTCCTTGTGCTTTCCCTGTTGATCTATAGAAATCCCCTGGGCTCTGGCCTTTGCAGTCTCTCTCCTCGGACTGCCTCCGTTACAGTCACTTTAAGCCTGATGCAATTTGTACTTTTTAATATTAAAGAACTTGAACCACTGGATTGTGGCTCGATAGAATAGGAAAGGACAATGTTAGACCAGCTCAGCAGATAGCACTGTGTCTGGCATTAGATATGTATCTCATTTACGTTAGCAGCCTGTGATCTCATGCAAACATGCCCCCGAGGAGAATCAAGGTGAAACACCAGGGATGTGGCCCTGGTGACAAGACAAGCCCAAGACAAGCAAATGAGACAGATGCCCGCTGACCAGCTCTTGCTTTGGGGCTTTGACTGGTGGAGGAGTGGATATGGACTGGCGGGCTGGAGCGAGGAGAGAGCCCTGTCCCCTCAGGGCTGCTGTGCAAGAGACCCTGAAGGCTTATGAAGAATATGAAACTCTGCTGAGCAGGATCTCACGAGGCAGGCGGCTGCCCGAGGGCAGGTTGTGCACAGGAAGCACTGCGCCCTGACCCACCAAGATTACCAGCAGATGGGGAAGCACCCTACAGCACCCCAACTGCCACGTCCACCTTGCTTGTGGGTATCATGTGGAGTGATGTCCAGCCAAAGGATAGGTATGTGTGTTGTGGGTGGGCGCGTGGGGGGTTATGACATGACTCAGGGTTTAAATGGGCCTCGGAGAACGCAGCGGATGGGATAAGCAGCGGCTGGAGGTTAGCTGTCAGCCAGAAGCGCGTATCGTTTCTCAGGTGGGCTTGTTCCCTGGTGTCTCAGCTGCAGGACAAGCCAGGACTGCCGCTCTGCAGAAAGGTTTGCTATGCTGTTGGGGGCATTCCCTACCAGATGACAGGCAACGCCCTTGGGTTTTTCCTCCAAATCTTCCTCTTGGATGTTGTGCAGGTGAGCGGCCGCGTGAGATGGGGTTATCTGCAAAGGGGCTTAGCATAAGCTCAGCATATTGGGGCAAGGGTTGGGTTTGGTGGGTGGCCAAAGCCCTTGGAAATGCTCATCAGAATTAGGCGTTCAAACTGGATCAAAATCGCATCATGTAAATATTGTTGGTGGGCATGCAGGAGACGTTTCTGGGCCATTTCAACACTTGGAGTGGTCTCCAGGGGATGCAGATGAAACGTTGGCTAGTGCGAGCTGCATCGTGCTGACTGCTCGCAGCTTTTCGCCAGGACTTCCTTCCCTTTCGAGCTGTGGTTTCTGTTTCTCCCCAGCTGGAGCCATTCCATGCCTCTCTGATCATTTTCCTTGGAAGAGCCTGGGATGCAGTTACTGACCCTGTTATTGGCTTCCTGGTCAGCAAAAGCCCGAGGAGAAAATGTGGCAAGCTGGTCCCATGGTGAGTGTCTGGGCTGGAGCCTCAGGAGGGTCTTTGCTGGGCTCAAATTCCTTCAGTGCTAGCACAAGGAGGTAGCTGGGACACCTCACTGGGAGTTTAATCTGATTGTGACTTACTGAGAATTACAAAACCGTAACATCAGAAGGACGCTAAAGATAACATAACTTGCAGTGGGGTCTGTATGTCATTGCAATGGAAGAGGAGGAGTGTACTGCAAACTTGCACATTTGCTCTTTCCCTGGGGCCTCACGTTTTCGAGGTCGTGGGGTTCGGTGCTCTGAAAGTCCTGTATGGTGGCACGTACAGAGTTTGGTAGTCAGCTGTACCAGCAGCTCTTCACCAGGCTCTAACCACAGGCAGGTCTTGCACATAGAGGGTTACCGCTGCCTCCAGGGTTCTGCTGCAGGGCAAGGACTTGAAGTAGTTAAGCAAGAGAGTAAGAAATGTTGGACAACTTAGACATTACTTTTTCTCTCAACGTTTGTGTTTAGCCCCCCACAGCCTGACTGATGGACACTCACTTGAGCAAAGCTGCTTCCTCTCATAAATCTTTATCTTGCAGTAGCTGGGTTGTGGTTTGGAAGCCGGGGAAGAGGCTGTGCTACGTATCTCAGCTTGTGCAATGAGAAGTGTGACCACCTTATCTGAGGGTTGTATCTGACCAGCTCTGCTTCCTCCCCAGGATTGCATGCTCCATGCCATTCGGGGTGCTCTGCTACTGCATGACGTGGTTCACCCTCTCAGATGCCACCCCCACCTCCTTGAAATTCCTGTGGTACCTCTTCATGTACAGCTTCTTCCAGACTTGTATGACTGTAAGGAACATGGTGTCTGGGGCTGACTCTCTTACACATCATCCTATACTGCAAGGAACGGGGACATGGTCAGCTGGGGAGTCCCAGCCCTAGCCTCCCCAGGAAGGGACCTGGAGCGGAGTCTGAGAGCGCTCTAGCTGGGGAGCAGTGAGGGATGCAGGATGTTGCAGACCATCCCTGCAGGGATGGTGAGGGTGAGATGGAGCGGTGCATTTTAATGCTGGGGATTTGGCTGGGCTGCCTGTATATGGTGATGTGAATTTCTCCATCACTGGTTTGTGGGAACAGAGCAAATCACAGAAGAAGAGGGTGAAAAGCCACCTCTGGGCAGGTGTGGCACAGAAGGCAGCATTATCTGCTGTGTGTAGGGACGAGGGGGGGTCATGACCAGCAAACCAGGGAAGCAGCAGCCAGAGCTGTGTTTGAACTGTGCTCTCCCTAGTGCTACCACGTGCCGTACTCTTCCCTGACAATGTTCCTGGGAGGAACCCAGAGAGACCGTGACTCAGCCACTGCCTACAGTAAGTGTCTGTGCCCCTACAACCCCCAGCTGCCGGTGTTCCTGGGAGACTCTCCCCAGAGGAGAGGTGAATAAGTTCCTCTGGCTTTGATCAGGCTGCAGAGTGGATGGGGTAAACCAGGGATATTAAAATAGGGATGAAACCCTGTTTTTAAAATCTTCTGCAAAGAATTTACCCGCAGAAATGTTTCTTAGATCTGTATCATCCCTAGGGGACTCGGGACCCAGATTTATTGGTTCCAAACATTAGAGCATTTACTGCTGGAGCCAAGGGAAAAAAAATCAGAGCAGGTAGAAATAGCAGGTCTCTTCTTCTGAGGCAGCTCTGGATGTTGGTGCCTCCAATTCCATTCCCAAAGCTGGTCTCTTACCCTGATGGATGTGTCCCATCAGCCAGGGAGTGGGACTGAGGTTTCTCTCCTGGTCGTCCTGGCAGGAATGGGGATGGAGGTGTTCAGCACGCTCCTTGGGTCAGGAATCCAGGGGCAGATTGTAGGCAGTTACCATGCCCGCATGATGAACGGCTGTTACGTGTCAAACGAGACCCTGCCCAACACCAGCACCTACGGCCTCACGGACTCTCTGGAGAACACGGTAAGGGCTGGCTTGTCTGCTCCCTGCTCCTCCTGTAAGCTCTGGGGCAGGCGCTGCTGGCCGTGCTGCCAGCTCTGTGCGTGGTACCTGCGTTGTCACTGTGCACTGTCTCTTGTTTTCCAGCGTAGGGCCTATGTATTTGCATCCCTGGTCCTGGGCTCAATCTATTGCCTCTCCTGTCTGATTCTCATCTTTGGAGTCAGGGAGCAGCCTGGTAAGGTCCATTTAGATCCAATTTGGAGGGTGCCCAGTGGCAGTGGATGGTGAGGGTGGGGTTGCAGAGGAAGGTGTGAGGCAGAGGGAGCTGGGCTCCTACGTGGGGGATGGCTCTCTGGGTGTGGGGTTCAGGAACACGCACATACTTGGATGCTGAGACCCTCCTTGATTTGTGCTGGCAGCATCTTCCTCCCGCAGAGGAGAGGGGAGATGCTCTGGAGGAAGGAAGGCTCAGGCTGCCTGGGAGCTCCTGCAGGGAGCCGTGGGCCTGGGACAGGGTCTGCAGCTCACTGCTTCACACTGAGCACGTCTCGCCAACACACAGCCTGCAGAGCTAAGCAGGCCAGCCCGAGTGCGCAGTGTAAAGTGGCAAAATCCTGCCTGTAGCTGATACTGCGGCTGTTGTCTCTGCCCGGAGACATCAGACCCCGATAGCTCCTCACCCAGCTGAGCTGCACCCCCGACATAGCAGCACAATCCCCCTGTGCCTCCTACCCTGTCGCGTTTGTTCTGGCAGCTCCAGTGCCAGTCCTGCTGTCTCTCCTCTCAGGGCTCCTCAGCCCCCTGGGGAAGGTTGAGCTGCCCTTTGCCAGCTGCCTGAGGATGATCGTGGGACACAAGCCCTACACCCAGCTGCTATGTGGCTTCCTCTTTGCGTCCCTGGCCTTCCAGGTGTGAGACCTGCCACGGCAGGAGGAGAACTTGGGGGTGAGATGTCTGGGCAAGTTATCCAGACAATGAACTCGGGACCCCCAGCCATGAACGTCTGCATGTTGCTTTCCCAGATCACACAGGGGATCTTTGCCTTCTTCTGTACTCATGCTGCGGGGCTGGCTGGGAAGTTCCAGCATTTGGTGCTTATCATGTTGGTAAGTGAGCCCCAAAGAGACTTTCCTGGTGGAGGGATTAATCCTTGGGTCACCCCAGCCCTCGAGCACGGGCAGCTCAGCCTCATGGAGTCATGCACTGCTGCTTCTGCCCATCAGCAAGGATGTCACCCAGGCAGAGACTGGTAGTCCTGGGGGACATTGCTGAGACTCCCCTTTGGTTCTCTCCTCAGGTCACAGCTTCCCTCTCTATTCCCTTTTGGCAGTGGTTTTTGGGGAGATTTGGAAAGAAAACAGCAGCATCACTGGGCCTGGCGGTGAGTTTGCCCGTGGTTGTGGCTGTGGACTGAGACACTCTGTGAGGGGACAGCCTTGCCCCCAGGTGCTCATGGTGTCTGGGGAGAAGAGCTGGCTGGCAGCTAAGGGTGACCCTGAGCACGGCGTCCTCTGTACTGCAGGTGACCAAGAGTAAGCCAGTAGTTGATGGCAGCTCTGCACATCCTTGTGTCTGGCCACTGCTGGTATCAGTGGCCATGGCTTCGCAGAGCTTTGCAGTAAGGTGCAGGGAGGCTGAGGGACCGTTCCTGGGACAGTGGGGAAATGATTTTTTGCAGCATCACCCAACCAAGGGCTCAGGCTCTGAGACTCCATGGCTGCAGATCTGGTGAGCAGCGTGTGATCAGATGCTGTACCGATGCACCAGTCTCATGTGCACACACAGACATAGTCCTGTGGCCTCTGTCCTGCTCCAGGATCTGGCATGCTTGATGCAAGTGATCCAAGTTCTGCCACCCAGCTCTGTGAGAGGCACGGGGAGGGAAGGAAGGGCTGTGCGCCACGCTTGGCAGTGGCTGGGAAACAGCCTGCTCATCAGACACGTCCCGGCTACTGCCTGTCCCTGCAGGTCAGGAAATCCCATTTGGCTTTTTTGCAGAATTAGGTCCTCAGATCCCATTGAGGATCTATCTCCAGATGCCTTCCTCACAGACATTGGGTGCAGCCACAGCAGATCCAGCTTTCCAGGTTAACCACTCGGTTCCATTGCCCTCCATAACTATCCCTTCTTTACCCATGAGGAAGGTTTATGCTGCCAGTGTCAGCCTGTCCAGGGCCTCCACACTGTACTGCATAGGGGACAGAAGCAGTTCTGTTTATGAATTGTGTGGGGAAGGGGGGGAGCATGGCCTTTGGTTGGGGCAGACCAGTGCAAGCTGCCTGTGAGCAGCAGAAAGAGCCCATGCGCTTTTGTTTCTTCTCTTCCTCTTGCTGCTGCAGCTGATCATCCCAGCCCTGGTAGCCATCACCCAGGTGATGCACAACTTCCTGGCCTTCGTCTTCCCGGTGATCGTAGCAGGCTGCAGCATGGCTGTGCTCTACCTTTTACCATGGTGAGCAGAGGCACCTCTGAGCCGCTTGTCAGGCAGGGAGGAGGGGAAGGTTATCGGGAAAGCACTACCCATGACGTGCCAAGACTGCCCGTTTGCTCAGTACAGCAGCTTTTGGGCTGCAGAGGGACCTGTGGAGGTGAGACTGGGAAGGGATGTGGACGTGACCCATGGTCCCCCAGCAGCATCGTTCAGTCTGTGTTCGGGTTCAGCAGCAGGACGCCAGTCATTGCGCAAGGCGCTCTTTTTCTTCTCTTTTTCCGAAGCAGCTGCCGCACCCTCTCTGTAAGACGCTCTCTGCCCTGTTTGCCTAAGGCAGAGGACAGGCACAAAACGGTCTCCAGAGTGGGGTTCTGCAAGGGGTTTCTGTCTCTCTCTGCTGCTTGGAGAGGCCTTGGAGCGGCTGCAGCTGAGTTTGGCCAGCGCTGGCGTGGGTGTCGCTGGCGTGGGTGTCACTGGCGTGTCTGTGGGGCTGTCTGTCCTCAGGTCCATGCTGCCAGATACGGTGGACGACTTCATGCTGAGGAACCCCAGCTGCCTCAACCTGGAGGCTCTCTTCTACTCGTTTTACGTCTTCTTCAACAAGTTTGCAGGTGGCCTTGCCGTGGGAATATCGACACTGAGTTTACAGTAAGCCGCAAACACTGCCTCCCCTATTTTGTCAGCCCAGTGCAGGCACTTTCTACTGCTGTTTTTCTAGAGTGTCTGATAGGAGATGCTGGAATGAGTCACAGGGGTATCCAAATTTGCCTTTCCAAGATCTACTGGGAGCAAGCAGAGCAGACAGGAGTGGGAATTCCCCAAAACTGGGCCTCTGATACCACACTAGAGGAGAGCGACGGAGGTGCCTGCTTGCCTTTCTGCGGTGGCCCAGTGGGGCTGGGGGAAGGAAAACCATTCTCCTCTTTAGTTTTGCAGGTTACCGTTCTGGAGACTGCACATACAACCCCTCCGTCATCCTCGCCCTGCAGCTTCTCATGGCCCCAGTCCCAATAAGCCTGCTGCTCATTGCCATAATCATCTTCTGCCTCCATCCCATTGATGAGGAGAGGAGGAAGCAGATGAGAATCGAGATAGAGGCAATGGGGTAAATTCAAGCTCCCTGAAGGAGCCAGGTCACCTAGCATTCGTCTGGGTGTCTGCCTTGGTCCTAGCCTGACACAGAAATGTTGTATGGGGGAGGGACTGCGTGCGTCCAGTCCAGCTCCCCGTGCTTGGGCTACGATCCTCTCTAGGGGTGCATTTCCCGAAGGGCTTTGGGGGTATTTCGGAGGCTGCTGATTTCACACCAGATTTCCTGAGTGCTCGTGTTCCTTTTAACAGGCATCGGGTACAGTGCGGCAGCTGAGAATAAACCCAGGGCTGAAGTGGGTGAGTTCATCGGGAACCGTGCTGTCAGGATGTGCTGCTGTCAGGGAAAGTCGTTGCTTCCTGTTGTTTCCTGTTCCCGCGTCCCAAAGGCTTGTTTTGCATCCTGACCCCCTCCCTCTCCTGGCTGGCAGGCACAGGATGGGGAGGGGGTCCTGCTGCAGCCCCAGCCCTGCCACCTCACCAGAGCTGCTTTCTCTAGGGCTTGGCCTCGCTGGTCTTTTGGCAGGTCCTGACAGATCTGGGCAAGGCAGATCCACACTCTCCTTCTGGGAGAGACTGCAGTGCCGGGGAGGAAGGGCCCCCGCCAGCCCCGGAGCGGTGCTCTTACACACGCTGGGGTGCGGAGGTATCACTTAACCGTGTGGGAATGCGTGCACAAAGAACACAGGGATTGTTTTTGAGAGGAAACTATTTTTGACGAGTTTTTAGGAAAAATGCTGCTGAGATAGCGCATGTCTTTGTGCTTAGACTGCCCTTTCACGGGAAAAGGTTTAGAATTTCTTTGAACGAGGGTGAAGTTCAAGCTGGCGGCGTAAAGCATGTGCAGATACCATGACACCTGGCAGCAGGGTGGTGGAAGCCAGCTCCGTCCCTCTGCCTGGGCCTTGTTAGCTGAGTCACTTCTGGGGAACCAGGAGCTTCTCGGTGCAAGAGGCTGTGGGAATGGGCTGTGCTGCCTCTGGTCAGGCAGCTGGGGGGGGTTCTGGCAGCTTGTCCTGCTTTTTGCCAGGTCGGGAAGTAACGGCAGAAGTGTCAAATGAGCGTCAAGAGCTGAGTTGCTTTTAAATCGTAGCCCATAGCTAGATCTCCCCCAGCAGCATCTTGCGAGAGCTGCTCGGCCCCCCCACGTCTCTCCTGGCAACAGTGAGGGGGCAGCGGGGGGAAGAGAGGAGAAATCAGCCATCTCGTGGCTGGTAGAGCTGAGTTGCTTTTAAATCATAGCCCATAGCTAGATCTCCCACAGCAGCATCTTGCGAGAGCTGCTCGGCACCCCCACGTCTCTCCTGGCAACAGTGAGGGGGCAGCGGGGGGAAGAGAGGAGAAATCAGCCATCTCGTGGCTGGTAGCGCTGAGCTGTGTTCAGCCTTGTGCAGAGGCAGAGAGTGAGGCTGGTTATTTTTAGGGCTAGAGCTGTATCTGACCGTTGGTTGACCTTGCAGCTCTCCAGTCTGGTGCACACTGGCAGGATCTGAGCAAATTACTCCCCAGTTGTGCGCTGAATTAATTTGAAGCCTTAAGTCTTGTGGTGCAACTTTGTGATCAGTGAGGGAGACGGTGTTTTAGAGCTGCATCAGGGCACCTGCAGGACTGTCGCAGCAGCCCAGATTCAGAACAAATTCTCAGACGCACAGAGGGCCTCCTCTTTTTTTTTCCCCCCTCTTTTTTTTCTTTTTTTGTTGTTTTGTTTTCTGGATTCCCCCTCTTTCTTTTCTTTTTTTGTTGTTTTGTTTTCTGGAGTGTGAAGGATGTTCCTTGGGATTGCCTGACTAAGCCCGCGGTCGGGTGTTGGGATGCACTGCCCTCTGCCACCACGCTGCTTTCAGCCTTGCTGCTTCTGGATTTACGAACAAGCAAATGCTTTTGAGCATCAAGGAAATGCTCTGATTGTTGAGAGTTTAAAGTCCTGCAGAAGGCATTAATTATCTTCAAAGGCACACGCTCCTTAGGACAGAGGAGTGGCTTCATCTGGAGCTCCCAACCTGCAGCACGGGCTGTGAACAGGCCACGGGCCGCTGCAGAGCGGGACCTGACCCACCGCAGAGCAGGGAGCTGCTGCTGGTGTGCGTGGTACCTGCCAGCCCCACTGCTGCCCGGGGTGGTGCTTCTGTACATCAAATAATGTCCCATTTATTTTTTACACTATTAAATCTGAATGGTCACGCTTTTCCCTCTTGGTATTTCTTATTTTGTGAGTTCTGCCAGCAGATGATCGAGAGGGCAGGGAGCGGTTTAGGCAGAATTCACTTGTTTTCAAGCCTTTGCGCTTTCTCCAGAGTTTAGGTACCAAGAATCTGACCTGAACCTTTCCTGGGTCTCGTCCAGCTGGACCCTGAGCAGTTGTGGGGTGGTCAAACCTGGCCGAGCAACTCACCCCTGTCAAGTACTGGTTGTTGCAGTGGCCTTGCTTGCCGGTAAGATGCTTGCAGGTTACGCCAGGGAGTTAAAAACCAAAACACCCCACCCAGGGTGAGAGCCGTGAGGAGGTTGCAGTGCCCGACGTGTGCAAGCGTGCCTGCGCCAGCATGGCAAGCGCTCTAGCGTGGGCATACATCGAGCAGTATTTTCCCCTTTCAGATCCTTGATTATCGCTGGCCCTTGTAGGGAGAGCAGGCCCAGCCCTTCACCGAGATAGCATTAATCAGGAGGGATGAGAGCGTGCCCCTTTTTCTCCCGTTATTTTTCATCTTGACTCTGGGCCTCACACATCTGCCCATGGGTGTGTTGGTGGAAAGTCAGGGCCCACAGGCACCATCTGTGTGTTGCAGCTTTAACATAAAAAATAATGCTATGGCATCAAGCAAGAAAAAAACCCCTTGGTATTTCAGTATTTAAAAGACGCAAGCAAGGAATAGAAGCAATTAAAACTTGCTTCATCCCATTATCTGTTTTTTTTAAGAGTCTCCTCCTCTTGTGTCCCATTTTAATGCACTTGCTGAGAATACTGGCTTTTTATTAAGTCTCTTGGCTGTCCTTGGAACTTCTCTGTTCCCTTGTGGACACTCAAGTTCATCTCCTTGAAGTAAGGAAATAGGACGCTTTGAGGCAAAAATCCTGTGCCTGGAGCGCTTCTTTTTTTGACCAAAAAAGAAAATAGTTGCTGTTGTTCCCAGAAGAAAGTCCTTTTGAGCGTGGGATTGTTCAAACCTGCGTGTCTTCTGCTGAACCTGCCCCAGTAACGCGGGGCCGGCGCTGACCTCCGCCAGCATGGCGAGGAGCAGCGTTAATATAGATCTATTGAACAGCATCTTATCTGCTCTGGCTGCTGTCATTGCACGTGCCCCACACTCTCAATTTAGGCACGGCTTGGTCTTGGGAACTGTGGCAATAATTAAAAGTCTTTTCTGGGGCTGGGGTGCGTGGCCGGTGTGCGCTGGCACCTTGGGGTTCCCGGCGAGCCCCGCTTTGGCAGCCCCCGGCCTCCACAGCAGCCTGCGCTCGGCCACGCACCAGGAGCCCGGGGGG